GTTTTCAGGTAAGTTCCCCTTCTCTTCCTCTTATTATTCTTTACTTCATAGATCAGCATGGTTGTATGGTAGCGATTCATCAGTACAACCGACTGATGTACGGTTGTTGTTGCCGCTGCTGTTGCAAATGGTTGATGTATTGATACTGCTGTTGTTTACTGGCTGCGTACATCATCCCTCTTCATTTGGGTCTCGAGATCGGCCGCATCACTTGTGCAACCAGGGGCTGTGTGGTATTTTTGTATTTGGTTTCGTGCGTATCACATTCATAACCCGGTGGTTTTGTTTCCCTCGAAGAAGCCTTGTCGCACCCACCCGCATTCAAACCTCAACCACATCCAGGAAACAATGGGTGGTTATTTTAGCCCTTTTCGAACCAGCAGCAGTGCATGCTACCTTTGTCTCCTTTGGAGTTGAAGCTCGTGGCACCATTGGTAGTAGTCTGTAGCTCAGTCTACTGACATGTAGCATGAGCCGCAGTCATAGCGGATGAGGAACTACCTGTGGTGTTGCTGGACACATCTTCCTCCTGATTTCACGCTAGTTCCTGTTGCTCTGTGCACTGACCTTGGTGAAAGCAAGTGGATTCATCGAACTTCTGTGTTACTCATTAGAGCTGAACTGCACAGTAGTAGGAATATTGTATCCTCCTCACCGATAAATTTGTCATCCTCAGCTCTTTATCTTCTCTTAATAATTAGAGTCCATATCACATCCAAAACGACATTTGCCTCTTTGACCGAAGGTGTGAGTGCAAAAAAATATGCATGTTCGCCACTATAACAATCTGCCTAATCGTTCATCACCAGCTGTAGTTAGGTCTGCATCTATGTACGACAGAAATTTAGTTTACTGAATTTACTTTTCCTGCGCTTGTCGCATATTGGCACCTCATTAATTTACCAGATTAAAAGGACGATTTGTTAGTAACCATGGTTGCTCAGACGGATGACGAGCCGTCTCATTTGGGTGTTTGGACACTAGCGGAGGCAAAACGTGAATATGAAAATAATTTCCGTTATATGTCCAGATCTTTTGTTAAATATTATGCTACATATTCACCACCATTTTTCTTTGCCCATAAGTCATTGTTTTTTGGCAAAACCGTAATTGCAGTCAGCTTAAGTAACCGGTAACAAAGAACGCCCAGTCAGTCAGGTTTACCTCATATATAAAATAGCCTGATGCGCCTTAGCGTCGGACGACCGTAGATCGGGAAGTACGCCGAAGTGTACGCGTACGTAGATTCCGATCGCTAATCGGGCAGGCAGCGATGCGCGCAATCAAAATAATCCAGTGGCAACCAAGGGAGAACCATGGAAGACGAGCTCGAAACCAATCGTTATACCCATATAGTTAAATAAAACAAAGCTGTACAACAACTGCAGCGAAATAGGCAAGCGTGCAAATAAAAATAAGCTACAGTACTCTCCCCCTAGAGCGTGCACTAAAGAAACACTCGACAAGGAACCTGCGGAACATACTGCGCAAGCTTAGGTGAAAGTGAAACAACACGACCAGAACGTGGATCTGCGTGTAGCCCGAGGGCACAGAAGATTCGGTGTACTGGCGTCAGTGTGTTGTTGGGTCGGGGGTAATGAAGCAGGGGTGGGGGTATTCTGAGCGGAGGAAACGGGGTCTGTACTATCTACTATAAGTTCAATGTAAGCTGGTTTGAGTTGGTCGATGCTCACGGATTCTTTTGATTCATTTTTATTCAACACAAAATACTTGGGTTTCCATGATAAGACCTGGTACGGGCCTTCATAGAGCAGAGTTAAAGGTCTTCGGACGACGTCGACGTGGATGAAAACAAAGAAACACTTGTGCAAATCGTGGTGGATTTGATGTTTACATATGGTAAGCCGCGTAGACGTTGGTCGAATGGATCGAAAATGGTGTTTGAGGCGTTCAGTGTACCAGAAGGGGTCTAGTTCTCCGGTGGTGCGAGAGTACAGTACCATCTCAACAGGTTGTCTGACGGTCGTGCCGAACACGAGTTCTGCAGGACAGCACCCAATGTCCTCTTTGATTGTATTACGAATGCTAAGAAAGATCTCAGGGAGGCCCTCAGACCAGTGTGAATCAGACGAACTAGCAATGATGGCAGCTTTTAATTGTCGATGAAAACGCTCGATGAGGTCATTGGCAGCGGGGTGGTATGCAGATCCTCTTATATGAGTACAGCCTAATAAACAAATCAGATCACGGAACAGTGTGGAACTGAACTGAGACCCTCTGTCGGTAGTGATGGTGGATGGAACATCAAACAGAGAAATCCAATATTCGACAAAAGCACGGGAAACAGATTCGGTAGATGTATCATGTAAAGGAACAGCTTGTGGCCAAACCGTAAGGCGGTCAACAAATGTTAGAAGATGCGCAAAACTGTTGGAAGGAGGTAAATGGCCAACAATATCTAGGTGAACGTGTCTAAAAGGTGGGTCGGAGTGAAACTGCACCTGGAGTATTGACTGTGTGATGATGAACTTTACTGGTTTGGTAACTAAGACATTGTTTAGTCCAATGTCTGTCTGAACACATATTGTGCCAGAGGAAGCGGTCGGTACTGAGTTTCACGCTGAAGCTAATACTCGAGTGTGAACGACCATGTAAATGATCAAGAATGGCTCGACGAAATGCTCGTGGGACAAAGGGTCTAGGCTTACCGGTTTAAAAGTCACAGTAAACTCTTAGGTCAGAGTTCAGTACGGACAACTGTATGATTTCCAATGAGGGGTTTGATCGAAGTTGGACAAGCTCATGATCGTTGTTTTGAGCAGCCGTCATTCCCTCCAGATTGATGGGTGTCGATGACAATTGCTTTCTATAAGCGCGGGATAATGCATCGGCAACAGCGTTGTTGGGACTCTCGATATGACGTACATCAACACAGAACTGCGAAAGACAGTCCAGATGACGCGTTTCTCGGGGTGAGTAACCGTCCGAGGCAGTACGGAAAGCGTACACCAGTGGCTTATGATCTGTCAAGAGTATGAAACCATGTCCTGCTAAAAGGTGACAGAAATGTTTCACATCCAAACACATGGCGAGCAGTTCACGACCAAAAGTGTTGTACTTGACCTGAGCAGATTGTAGCTTCCGTGCTAAAAAGGACAGTGCTTGGAATTCGTTATCAGCTAACTGTTGCAAAACTGCACCGACAGCAGAAATTGAAGCATCCGTCGTAAGGACAAATGTAGCGTCCTCAGTGGTGTTCAAGTGATGGAGAGATGTGACCTCGCTGAACTTCTGCTTGACGGTCGTGAAACCGGCTTCAACTTCTGGGGTTATCGTAATGGTCTTTGAGTTTTCTTTCAGTAAGTCGGTAAGTGGATGAAGTAAACCAGCACAGTTGAGAATGAATATGCTTTAGTAGTTGATCATACCGAAAAATTGGCTTCGGCTTCGGACAGATTGTGGTGTGGGATAGTCGAGGATCGCTTGGAATTTATCCGGGAGAGGTTTAATACTTCCACCATCGATCTTGTGACCGATAAATTCGATGGTGGGCTGACCAAATATACATTTGTCCGGGTCGATGGTTATACCGTGGTTTTCAAAGCGTTCGAAAACCATTCTGGGATGTGATAAATGCTCGTCAGGTTTGGCACTTGCGATCAGAATCTCGTCAATGTAAACCTAGACGAAATTAAGGCCATGGAGAACCTTATTCATAAAGCGTTGGAAAAACTGTGATGCGTTTCGGAGGCCGATAGGTATACGAAGAAATTCATACAGGCCCAATGAAGTGATCACAGCAGTTTTTGCGATGTCTTCCTTCGCCATCGGAATTTGATGGTATGCTCTGACCAGGTCGAGTTCGGTGAAGATTGACTTTCCGGCTAGTCTAAGAGAGAAATCTTGGATCTGGGGGATAGCATACCTTTCCGGAACACTGACGTTGTTGAGAGCACGGTAGTCGTCGCATAGTCGCCAATCGTCTGACTTTTTAGGCGCCAGATGGAGAGGTGATGCCCAGCAGCTGTTTGATGGACGAACGATGCCGAGATCAAGCATGTGTTGGAATTCCTTTCTAGCTGCATGAAGTTTGTCGGGGCGCAAACGTCGCGGTTTAACAGCTACTGGCGGACCGGTTGCAGCGATGTGATGGCGTATATCGTGTTTAGGGTCGGAGCTATCGTTACTTACTCGAATTAGCGACTGAAATTGTCGGAGCAATGAACAGTACTATGAGTCGTCAGGTATGAGAATGCGAAGCCCGAGAGAATTGACTGAAGCAAGGTTGCAGGGTATGTTTAAAGCCGTAGTATCGTCTCGTAATTTCCCACAACTTAGGTCGACCACAAGACCGAACTTGCTGAGGAAGTCGATTCCGATGATGGCGATGGTAAAAACGAACTGGAAGTTACACCGTAGTTCCAGGCTCAAAGTAAGTAGTTTCTGGCCGTAGGTCGCGATCTTAGTCTGATTGGCTACCGTTAGTATTGGATCAGCTGGTTGCAAGGGGCGTTTTTCCAGAGAACGTGGGAGAACGCTGATTTCTGCACCAGAATCAACCAAGAACTGAAGTCTGGTTGTTGAGTTAAATGTGTACAACAGGCGACTAATAACCTGTTTTGTACCCTGTTCACCCAGCCGCGTTAGCACACAAGCGCTCTGTTCACAAGCCTGAGGCAAAATAAAACAATCTGGATACTTAAAATCTCACGCGCACACTCGATCGCTCGTCCGAACGACTGCACTGAAGTGGATGATTCCCTCCGTCTCAGCTTTCAGCCGACAGCAGAGAAATTTTGACCACGGTCAAATTGTTTAACTGTTTGTTCACACACTGGTTGCCACGATTTTTCTGCTAGGAAGCTAGTATGTTATTTCGCAAAACCGCATAAATATCAACTACTATTTATCATTCATAAAGCACTGTTGTTGGTTTTTCTCACCATTATGGTTTAATATGTAAGGCCTACTACTAAAGGTTAGTAAAACTCATCTATGTTTGATGTTACGGTGCTTGCTTGTTTTTATTGCCACTATGAAGGACACCCGTGAAAGCCCCACACGCACCCTTTTAAGTGCCCGAGATATTCGGTTCAGTTCAGACCACTGTGCACTCTAGCCATGGGCCGTGTAGCATCCTTAGCGTCTTTGGTACGTCCATATTATCTCTCCAAGTCTCATCACTGCTTTGTTCCTGGTTCTAACGCTATTGATTTTAGTTAACTAGTGTTGATGCTCAGTTGGTTTTATAAACCTACTGGTTCGAACATTCGTCTTAGCATCAATAATATATAACCGTTGGCTTGTTTGTTCATTCGTAAAACATGCTAGTAAGTTTTGTCTATATTTTTTAAATAGAATATCTTCGTCGGTGCGTTCCTTCTTTCGTTGCAAGTGGTTTTGATAAGGTCTATTTCGTTTGCCATTTCGTATGCTTTCATTTTCATCGTTTTCTTTTCACAATATATGGGTTGGGCATTATCTCCTTTCTACGTTTTTGTGTTTGTTCCATAGTCTTACTGGCCTAACACTGCAAAATTAGACACCATTGTTGCACCATTCTTGGATGGATCCAACAACGCCAATTGTTGGCTGACTCTCATTAATCATTCTTCATTTGTTGGAGCTAGAAAGCACCTTTAATATTTTTACGTTGTATTAGTTAATAATGCAGTCGTTAAAAATAGAACAAATTAACTATATTGTCCTTAGTATTCGTTAACTATTTTTACTCCAAATGGAAGAAGCAGCAAACGAACGACGCAAACGTTGCTGAGTTCGATGATGAGCCATGTCAAAAGTGTTTTCTACTAGCGCAGAAGTTACGAGGGACAAACCGCGGCGAGCTTTGTAGTAGAAGTCCTCATTCATCTTGACCAAGAACTTTTCTTACTGTCCTTCCATTTAGCACTTTTGACCATGCAATCAATGCATGTTTCGTGCATCGGCGCGTTACTAAACGGAACATGGCCAAGCTATTAAAACCCGTAACTTAAAATGTTGGCGCTGAGCAGTTTATCTGCTCTACCTATAACAAATGCCAAATAAAGAATTGGTCAGCGTATCCTCGACTTATAATAAACCCGGCTTTCTCTTCACGAACCGGACTCATTGGCACTGGTTAGTCTATGTATGTCTGCTGTTTAACTTTGAGGTGAGAGAGATAAGACTAGTGCATCTATGATTGCTACATTTCGAACATGGGCTCACCTTGTATGCCAGGACTATCACAGATTATCTACAGTCGTTTCGGTCGGCAGATAGTTCATTGGTCTGCACGCCTGGCTTGCAAGCATAAGGTCACCAGTTCGAATCCGCGTAGGGGCGGGCATCCTTGCGCTTTAGTCAGCCCACGCGCGACTAGTGGTAGCGCGGCAGAGTAGCACTGTTAGAGCGTGCAGCTGACACCTTATTATTTATTATTTCGCCGGCTTCCTGAGAAATATCTCCCATAATTTAATAATAATCTTTATTCTCGGTTTCAGGTTATATGCTCTTTCCCACGCAAACGTCATTTTACAATTTGTTACACTGTCGTAACAATAGACTGCAAAAATGAATTAAAATAAAGCAAGCACTGCTGCCCATTGTAAAAAGGAGAGGCATAAGTCAACGGTTCACTCAAAGTAATACAGCTATTCGTGGAGCCATGTTTTGTGGACATATCTTTATGTGGCGCAGTCCCTCGAATCGTGTCATCCGCACTTCCATGCACATCTGGCAGTGTGCTTATTTGGCTTAGAAGCAAGCAAATTATGACCGCCTCGATTCACATCTCAGGCTATTTTAAAACTCGTGGGTCGTGATAGGTACTCAAAATTGGTTTCACAAATCGGAAAAGGTCTGAAACAAGTTTAGCTAGTATTGCAACCTTGATCACCAGCCTAATCTGACATTTGACTTTTGCTCGCGTTGGCCGAATCCAGTGTGATCACTTGCTGGCAAGTGAACTTGGTATTATAGTCTATGAATTTGCATTTCAGGAAAGCGCTTTCTTGGGTGTGTGGTGGCTGCCAGCTTGTGTCTAACTGCGAAGAATCTGCGCAAAACTCCTCAGCGTTGTCCAATTCAACATCGACTACCTGCCAAGAGCTCAACGACACTTTCATAGCATTTTTGAGGAAATCCTCATTGGCAAACTTGAAGAGGAATGGAGAGATGGGGCATTCATGTCGAACTTTACTAGTGACGCCGAAGGAAGGCGAAAGCTTGCCATAAGCCCTGACTCTACGCGAGGTCAACAACTAACTTCGCTGGGACGCCATTCCTCAACAGGCAATTCCCCAAAGCAGTCCTGCCGACAGAATCGAAGGCAGCGCAGATATCCAGGAGCGCAAATAACTTTGGCTCTTGTTACACATGACGTAGCTTAAGGGTCTGGCGGAGTGTGCAAAGTTGCTCGGTACAGCCGCAACCTGGGCGGAACCTAGCCCGTTCTTCCCACCGTAGCAATTTACAAGTTAGGCACAGCCTTCGAAATATGATGGACACCAGAAGCTTACAAACAGGGTGCCGTTAGGCTTTCTCGCCTTTCTGACTGGAGTCCGCACGATCCGACTTGTGCTTGTCTCGAGACGTTACAGAACATGGATCACGATCGTCATCGGTGATGCTTTTACTATGCTCTTCTAGTCGGACTGTATGTTTACCCTGTCTTTTGCTAACTTATCTGTCGGAGTATTTGCTGATTATGAAGCGGGGCTCTGTAAGATCCACCTAGGCTGTATTGCCGATTGCCACTAATCTTTGCACAACAGCCAGCTGTTAGTAATCGTACGTTGTTGACAAGGTGTAGGTGCTTAGGGATTGCAGGTCTACCTAGGATATATAAGTTATACCTGAGGTTCCTCTTTTATTTTTCTTCTCATGCTTCTTTCCGGAAGTCATCGTTGTTGTACCGCAGCGAAGCATCAGTGCAAGTGGTTGCGGGCAACCTTTGAGCCAAAGGCTTTGGTTGAGGACCCTAATCGTCCTCTTGTCCAGCTCTGGGCGCCCTGGCAGTATCTCAGCCCATATACAACCATGACTTTCTCTTCAGACATAAGCTTCATCCTGCATCGGCCGTCGCGCAGATTATCAGAGGTGGACTTGGCTGCTGCATACAGCACGGTAGATAAGCGAAAACATGATACTGCTTGCGCCTCCCTCCTTTCTTTTCCCCTTATTTCTCTTATTCCCATCCCGACCCACATTACTAACATTCCTTTTATAATTTCCAGCTTAATTGACAGCAACCACACACAGTGCCACTGGATTGGAGACGTCTGCAGCCACCCTCCCTCTACACCCATCGGACGGCTATCAGCAACAGTCCCTTATGACGCCACACAGTCCCGTTTCTATGGCGACGTCCAACGTTCGCACTCTAAGACAAATAGGTCAGCAGGCTGCACTCGCATGCACCTTGGACACGTTGTTTGTCCGAAAATAAGAACAATGGCCTTAATAGGGTTGTTAAGTTACTTGCGCCCAGTTGCACCTACCCGAAGACGCCGATGCAGCACTCACGGGTCAAGCTAGTATAGGTATCCTTCTCGGCTTCAAGGCTAAGCCATCGTTGGTTGATGAGATTCCGGTGAACAGCCGTTTATGTGCAGTCCGTTTGACGACATCAGCTAAGGTAGATTCACGAAGTAATACATAAGGTTGTTTGTTTGGGATTTCCGTTTATGCTCCCACCGACTGCAGTTCAATTGCTGTCAATGACACATTCTATCACGAACTGAACGCGCTACTACGCAGTGCTACTAGTTCAGATATCATAGTACCTGCAGGGGGTGGGAATGCACAAGCGGGGCGTCTGAGCTCTTCAGAAGCTTAGCTGGATGGTGATTATAGGCTTAACCCTGAACGGACTAACAACGGCGAGCGTCTGCTGCAAATGTGTGAGGAGCACCAGGTGTTTCCTAGTAGCACTGCTTTTAGACACTGAGCGCCGAAGTGCCACTTGGCGTCCTCCTTTAGTCGACCAACGATGGACCCAAATTTATCACATTGCTGTGGCCTGATTCCATCCTGTACTAGCGCTTGTAATGGGGTACTTGCTTCGACTCTGATCATACTTTAGTACGGCGTCGTTTCTCCAGGAACATTACCGGAATGCGCACCAAGGGTCCCCTCCGATTAGCAACTGAGAAGCTATCTCAGCCCTCTGTCAGGCAAACCTAGCAAGACGCACTGTGTACCGAACTTTCACTGTCTTTTCCTAATGACACTGAGCTTCGGCCGAATAGGATTTTGGCCGCCATGCACGACGCAGGAGCATCTGGTTGTGGCACTATCAATTGTCACCGCACCAATCACTGGAAATATCAGAGGTCAGCGAACCTGTTGGAATCCAGAAGAAACCTCGCGACTAGCTCTAAGCACTATGTGCCCAGACGGGCTATAAGGCGCGAACTAAAGCGGAACCTACGTACTGACAGGGAAGCCTGGTGGACCAGTCGGGCTAGGGAACTGGAGGAGGCAGGAGCAGTAGTCAATTACCGCAAACTGTTCCAGCTGATCCGCACCACTGGTACTAGGAAACCAGGCATCAGTGAGACAACCGGAGACAGCGCGGGTGCACTGATGCCCAATGAGGAGCGCTGTATGGCTCGTTGGGCGGAACACGTTCAAGATCAGTTCAGCTGGCTGCTTGCTCCCGGACCTCTTCCTACTCATGTGATGGAGGACGTGCCATGGATGGTTAGTTTACAGGCTCCGTCAAAGGCCGTGTTCCAAAACGCGATCACAGCCCTGAATCGTTTTCGTGCCGCTGGTCTGGATTACCTCCCAGCTGCATTATGTAAGGATAGAGATGAGGTCATCCGCAAAGCACTGACATCCTTATTCGAACCTATCTTGAAGTAAATGTCCCGGGTAACTGGAGAGAAACGCTTATAGTGACAATACACAAGAAGCGAAGTCGCACAGACTGTTGTGACCATGGGGTATTGACCTAACGACAGTTGTGACAAAAGTACTGGCGTCGATTCCCGCTCGACGCCTCACTATGGAACGGGAATCTCGGAGTAGGGAAAAGCAGACCGGCTCCCGCCTAGGGCTTGGCTGTATAAACCATATCTTCACTCTGCGATTGGTGCTAGAGCGGCACCACGCATACCGCAGCCCGACAATAGTTGTGTTCTTCGATTTCAAGAATGCGTTCG